TTATGTTATATTTATAAAGAGAGTTTCAAATATAAACCATGTAATATTATAAATCATATAAATTAATTTAACTATTCATAAATACATCGATTGTTTTTTAATCTAAAGTAATGGCCATAATAAATGAACGTTATCATCTTTAATAAATATTTTGATCATAATGAATCAACTACAATAATCTTTCAAGAATATATTTATTCTTTCCTAATATAAGGTCAAAATGGTTTATAATATTTACATGGTTTTATACTATATTATATTATATCATATTATATTAATACAATATAGTATAATAAATCCTTTTGTGTCATGAGTTTTATCGGTTGCTGGTATCCCAGTTTTTTATCTTGGTCACTGTTTTTTTTATTAACCTGGATATTCAACCCGCTATGCGAGCCAACTAATCTCAGGACAATCACCTGCTTTGCAAATAGTTCGGAATCACCGGATTTTAACCTCTGTGGCCACAAAGAGATTTTTATTTCTCCTTGGATTTGAACCTGAAACCTCCTGGTACTTTTGACATTTGGAGCCAAACTCAGACCAATCAGGCACCACACTTGTGGTTGATCTTCGTCAGTGTTGTTGTTTTTATTATTTTTGTCTAGGTTAGTTCAGTTTAGCCTTGTTTCATGTTAGTTTGTTTATGATTGGTTCTGCAGCTTGCATAAACTTTTTCAATTTTCTGTACGTTTTTTTAGGTTCCAATAAATTGTTTATCTTTCAAAAAGAATACTACCATGTATAGTATATTACTTTATGTTACATTTTGTAACACCTGTATTTTATGATTAATTGTTTAATGGTGTAGATTTGTCGTAGCAAGCCATTCGTGTCTAACCATTATTGAATGTTTGTGGCATTTGAATCAAGAGTTTTGGTTGTTCTGGGATGAAGAAAAGTTTTGTTCAAAGTCATCTAGGGCATTAAGAGGCCTTTCATGCAAGTTTGGTCACTCGAGAAGTCACAAGTCAGCTTAAAAAACACAATAAAGTGACAAGCTGGTTGTCAAGTGAGATAAACTCACTTCAAAACTAGCATCAGGCTCTGGAAGTCTGATTTTTATTCTCAAGACAGTTTCGACGCAAGTTACAAAGGTTCTAACTGGTGTGAGGCATGGTGTGGCAGCAAGGTCAAGCCTCAAACGTTATGAGTTACGACGAAGCCATGGTGTTTTCCAATGTGTGGCTTATAGCGAAAAATCTCTATATGTGTGTGTGTGTGTGTTTATGTCAGTGTCTTGAACAATAATGATTAAGTTATTAACAATTTATATTCATATAAAAAGATAAACAAAAGAATAACTATGAATTGATAATTTGATATCAAATATACAGTGTTTACAAAAATGATATCAAATACACAAAGCAAGTCATTGTTTACAGTTTCTGTTTGGTAATCAAACAACAAAATCGAAGTAATGAAATCAAAGAACAACAAATGAATGTAATTGAACAATTTTTTGTGTATGTTGAGAAGTAATGTAGGGTTTATTTCTTTTTCCCAGTTTTGTTGATTAAATATTTGACCTGTAAAGATAATAAAGTTATATTTACATTTACTCTTATTCAGGTTTTTAGTTTGCAAATTTCTCCCATGCCTTGTAATGCCATAGTGCACCATGGCGAGCTCTACGCCAAGGGGGTTAACATGGCGGCAATGCTGCACCTCAGCACCATGGCGCATCATAGTGGCGCCAAGGCGCGTTTTTTAGAACATTAGGTAAAACTAGCGTGAAAGCCTGACTTGCATAAAGAGACAAAAAATCGGGACTTTCTCGTTTTAGCCATAACTTCTTTGTTTCTTATCCGTTTTTAGCGATTCTTTTTGCAATAGTTCTGGTTTTTTGAAGATCTTATAGGGCAATTGTCACTGCTTATGGACCCTGAACCTGGGTGATCTATCCATGACCAGGATGAAGCTTGGGTGAATCTTGATTTTTCATATATAAATGTAACTGATGTATCTCCTTCGTATACAAAGTGGGAAGAAAGAAAGTTGAAGTTTCCTTAACGAATTTGGGTTTCGAGAAGTTGAAAGATAAATCTATAACCAAACATTTCGTAACCTAGGGTTTGGTCCTTTTGCACCAACAATTCTCATTTCTTCTCTTGGGTTGTTTTTGTCTACGTTTTAGGAGTAAAATAAGTGTTGTTGAGAAGGTTTGCACCATAGATTCGGGAGTCTAGCTAACGGATCTCAAGTCTGAACTTTGGAAGCTAAATAGGGGTTTGGAACCTAGGTTTAACCAAACCTAACAACGTTAGTTCAAGTTGTTCTGTGAAAAAGATGTACATGTAAAAAATGTCCATTTTGAAGTATTAGCATCTTTTACTTGCTATTTATCAAACATGTGGGTTATTTAGTAAGTTAACATATTTGGTATATCTGGTTTTATTTATCATGTAAAATGCTTACATTTGGGGTTTTGGACATTTTGATCGAGAAATTATAAGTCTGGGTTTTTTAATGATTTAGCTTTTAATGAAGATTATTTGGTGATAAATGCATTTTTGAATTTGGTTGGAAAATGCATATTATTATAATATGTGATATTTTGAAAATACAAACGGTGTGGTTTTAATTGGAAAATGATTTATCCCAACAAATAGGTGTTTTAGTAGGGATGTTCAAAAAAACCGTCGGACCGCTCAAACTGGTCGAACCAAGTCAAACCAGACCGTTTTTGGCGGTTTGAGCGATCTGATGGTCCAGTCTGATTTGGAAAATAGCAAAACCGGGCGGTCCGGTCTGCGGTCTGGAACCTTTTTTGGGCGGTTTGGACCAAACCGAGCGTCCAACACACACACACACACACACACACACACACATATATATATATATATATATTAGTACTAGTAAGTCCAACTTTTTTAACTTATGGGTTATGACCCAAATATATCTCTGAGCCTAACATCTAACATAATCAAAATCGACGCCTAAAACCATTAAATATATCGACACATTTGACATTGACGGTCTCCAAATTTAGAAATCCCTCGAGAACTCTATCAATCTATAGATCTTTCTAATCCATGGTTTGATTTCGGCGCACATCATCAAGACATCAACCAAGTGATTCAGCCAACTTAGATTTGACTTTTATTTGTTTGGTCAAGAACTCAATACTCAAGAATTGAACTATTGAAGGTTATGAAGTCATGGATTTTGTTACTCAATACTCACGGTGGAGTTGTGTTGATCCTCTCTCTCATTGATTTGTTGATAATCCCTTTTTCCTTTCGATGTATTTATGTATCTGTAATTTCAGTTCCRRCDATCATACACTGARCTTGTTCAGTGATCGCTGATGAACTTGTTTTGAAATTCATTCAGAGACAACGATACTTCAAGAAAACAACACTCACACCAAAGATCCTTCAGCAAACGTCG